CTTCTATTGAATTTGTCAAAGATAAAAAAGCGCATATCAAGTAATATCCGTGACAGGTGGTATGGACATATTATTTATACATTATTTTAATAATGTTGTATATGTTAAGGCATATAAATTATGAACCATATATGTATATTATTGAAGTACATAAAGGTTAAGTCCAAGTTAAGTTATATTTAAGGAAAAAACTGTGCGCATCGCGTCGCTCCCCCGTGTACAATTAATTACCGCAGTACTTGTGCCCAAGCCGAGGCACGAACACGAGGCGATAAATGTGATTAGCATATAATTGTTGCGTTCGATTGCGATCCGATGTAAGTAATAAACATTGCCTCAGTACTTTCACACAGTACAATATGCAAATTGGACGAGAATTGTTTTCATATTCCATACGCATTGATAGTGCGACAGTATTATATTATAAATAACTCTTTTTAAACAGTCCGAAACAAGAAAGATCCCTTGGTGATTTTAGAGCAAGGTAAAAAGGTACAGCATTGATTTTTTTATCTAATAAAGAAGGATAAACGAGCACATGGATGGAGCAGGTGGACTGACCTGATGGGAAGTGGATGCTGTGGCCCATAGACTACATCTACATTTACCCTCGATTGAAAATCAAAATGCAGATGCGTTGTCACCCCTGAGGACCGAGATGGAATGCCTCATTTCTAATTAAAAAGATCACCGGTTGTGTTCACTCACCTTACGAAACACAGTAGCATTAAGCTGCTATTTTACGGTGGTATTCTGTGAGAGCGTGGTCCCACCCCGGTCGATCCGAACCAATCGTGTTACAACTATAATATAGCTGCAGCATTACTCTACCATGTAAACTGTTGAAATTGTCTTTTAGAAAATTTATTAGAGAACCTTTCCTTTTATCGTTTAATGACACAAGCCTAAGTCAAGTTCAAATTCTTCCTTCAGATCTTCAAACTAGAAAATTTATAATTAATTTAAATTTTCTAATAAAGTGATCGTATAATCTGTAATGTTTTCTATGAAAATAGACAAGTTTCGCATCTCACCTGAGAGTAAATGGCCAATGGCCTAAAATAGTGGAAGCACTTCCTAGCCCTAAGTTAAGTTAAGTTAAGTTACAGCCTATATACGTCCCACTGCTGGGCTCAGGCCTCCCCTCATTTCTGAGAGGGTTTAGGGCAAGGAAGTGTCCGCCGCGCTGCCCAAATGCGTGTTGACGAACTTCACACGTCTTTGAAATATTTTTTTTCTTATTCCTCAGACATGCAGGTTTCCTCACGATGTTTTCCTTCACCGCCGAGCACGTGGTAAATCAGCACTTAAAATTGCAATTAACAATTTCATTGGTGCCGGCGGGGATCGAACCCGGGTTACTCGCGTTCTGTTATATTTACAGCGAGCGTTAACCACTGAGCTACCACGGCTCTTCTTCTAGCCCTAGGTCCTAGCCAAATAAAAACAAAACCTGGGTCACTTTTAGCTTTTAGCAAACATGTGGAAAATAATAATTATTGAATGGATAGCGGATCGGACCACTGGAGAGCTCAATTCAACAAAAGCAGCATTAACTAAGCATGCCTAACATGCAGGATTTATTTAGTTTAGTAAAATAGTATCTTTTAAAATTGTTACTAGTGTGACCACCTTTAAAATATAGATACTGCCTTACTTTGGTTAAAAATCTGCCAAAACCTGCCAGTCTGTAGTGATAAATAATTAAATAATGCCAACTCTATTAACCATTATATTAAACTAAGAAAAGTAATGAAACGCATTTAAAATGCTATATTTTTTGTTAAATTAAAATTAAACTGCGGTTAGTATCATATTTTTAATTTTTTTTTCATATTTAAACACGAATTTTTTCGTACATGTTAACATATCTTTCGTTGGTTTGAATGCAATGCAATCGCCATACTCACTACTACCTTGTTTAACGTGCAAAATAGACGTTACATATTTGTTTATAAATCTGTTTCGTGTTGTTGTTGTAATTTAAGAGAATATTTTTTCGCAAGCAGCGTTGGACATTACTAAGCATAGCAGTCCCTTAAGGAAATTTGCAACACATACATATTTTAAGTGTCTCTTCCTGTTTTTTATATTTCTATGGTCTCTTATATGACTGATTGAAATATTAACCACAAACTCATGTTATAAATACTTGTTTTATGACCATCAACTTAAGGGGATAGAGTAAGTCAGCTCAAATTCTAATTTCGTCCCCACTTCCCCGCGCGTCGTATGCTATGTACCGACATGTTTGTAATCACTAATACTCTAAGTAGAAAGGTCGTTAGACACTTATTTCATTAGGTTTATCATATTTATGCCTGTTTCTTAACGCAGTCACTTCTTATTTTTATCACGGTTATTTCCCATTTTAATTTTACGTCGTACTGTTGCGTAATGTATATTCTGATCGTAAGCGACACAACCTCCCCGTTCAAAGGCCAAAGCGAATTGACCGTGCGGCAGGAATCACGCTTCAAAAGGCCGATAGTTTAGGTAATTTCTTTTTTACAGTGAAAATAATGGTATTTAAAAAAAGTAAATAACATAAGTACTGCTTTATAGTTAGTTCAGTTAGTATGCAAAGTTTCATGATCTTATTTAAAGTATTTTATGAATAACAGCGGTTTATTGTTTATTTTGGAGGTAACTTTGGATTTTTTTCTATCGAGAAAATTTTACGAAATCGTGTTTTCGTCTAACATAATCCTTAACATTAATCCTCAACTTTACCACATATTTATTTCAAAATTAATGCTGTAATATTTTCGGCATAACGAAGGATCTTGCTAAGCCATTTGAGATTATATTTCCCCTTAACACGCAAACATTTAAAGTTGTTTATTGAATGTGATACAGACATAATACAAGAAGTACAGAGAAACCCACACATGCTGGTGAAGTATCTAGGATCCCCATTTTAGGCATTATGAGTTGTCATAGTGAAATCTATTTTTAGTACCCCAATACTGCCAAATACTGTCTGGTTTTATTAAACGTTAACCGATCATGCCAAAGGCTAAAAAATAGGTGGCCTATCCTGCCAAAATGGCAGAAACCTACCACATACACTCTGGTCACACTGAGTGTTACCCTGTTCGATCGCTGGACGAAATCAGAAGTACTCGTGAACCAATGCCACGCTCGGCTAAATCACCGGCATGCCATGGCCGTCGCCATTCTGTTTTAAACTCCTATCAATTCTGCTCGACATTTAGGTTAAGCGCTTACGATCTACGATCATCTTGGACGACGTACACTTATATCAGTTTAAATTGTCTGAAGTCCAACTCTATTAACACTAATTAAATTTCAATAGAGTTTATACCATGCTTGCTAATGAAACAAAGAAAATTGAAAGAAGTGATTAAAAATATTACGTTAACAATTATCGCAAAATTAAATATAGATCTTATACCGTAGTCTATTATTATTTATTCTGTGCCGGTAGTGCTTAAAGCTCAAGCTGCGTTTTTTAAATTTACTTTTTTCAGCTGCCGTATCGTAGTAAATACATAATAGTACCAGGCTAGCAGATATGACTAAGAGTTTGTGTGAAGTTTATACTTTGTACGACACCACTATCGACGTCACTTAATAGCGAGACAAAGCGTTTGAGAATAAATTAGTATTAATAGATGCGCATTCGATTTATCTTCTATTCGTTTATATTCTTAGATTATTTTACCAAAAATAACGCTGGTAATAATTTAATATTTATTGTATAATAGCAGGTATGGGAATGGTTAGAAAAACCTCATGGTCTTCAATAAAGGGCTGGAAGAAATTTTTTAAAAATTAAAACTTTATTGTTCTCAGTTAAGATTAAGTTTGTCTATTTTCATATTGGCTAACTATAAGATCTAAGTAGTATATGTATATACATCACTGTAAGTAATAAAACGAAATAATATGAAAAATATTATAAATACTGGTTACAAAAAGTGATTATGCCTTTGATCTTTTGATATACCATTACTCATCTTGCATTTGCTAAAGGAAAGCCATACCTTTATTTGTGGACATATATTTGATATTGTGATTGCCTATACGCTTGCTAAATGTGGATATTACGGCAAACTGTTTTTATATTTCGAAGCTCATGTCAATCACTCACAGTTTTAATGAACAGACAGATCAGAGCTGCTATTGTATAAGAGGTAACGTTTATTAAATTTAAATATAATTAATATATAATTTCAAAATAGGTACTTGGATAACCGAACCCTACTCACGCGTTAAATAAAACTTGGGAAGAAACCTATCAAGATAAACTTGGAAAGTAAAAAACATTAATAATAATAATGAAGAACTTTGATTAGCAACACGCTCCTAGAAACTTTTGCAAGCAGGCAGTTACGACTAGGAGAGCATAAAATTGCGAAGTTAAGCACTATAGTAAGACCTAATGCTTCTTCATACGCAGTGCCTGTTTTGTGATATTAAATTTTATAGACATAAACATATTATGTCTGTACTTGTATCGTTTTAAATGAAAAAGAAATAAATACATTTATAGAGTAATATAGATAATGATATCTCTAAAAATGTAGTAATTTACTCTTATTCTGTTTTTTTTTTTGGATCTTCGCCGAATTATAACAATATAATAAGCATATTGCAATGTTTGTTACGCGTATCCTTTAAAGTGTTATAATTAAGTTATATGATAAAAATATAATGTAATGAGTGAAGAACTCAACGTTTGTCACAGAAAAACGTACCAAGAAAGTATGTAATAGCAGAATTGAAAAAATGTAAGAATTTTGTTTTAATAGATCTTATATCCTTTAAAATATTATAATTCTAAAATACTACCAAGAAATAAATTATAATGATAAAAAAATATAAAATAATAAAGATCCGTCCGTTCAACAATGTTTGTTAGGGAAAAATGTACCAAGAAAGTATGTAATTGCAGAATTGGACGTATGAATTATATTTTTGAACATCTCATAAGCAAGTCATATAATAATTTGTTATCACACGAGTAGACTTACCAATATCATGTAGTCGTTGGTTATCTTTCTGAGAGAGAGCAGCCAATAGTCCCGCGTCGCCCACGCGCTGCCTCGCTACCGCAATCCCCACCGGAATCGAACCTGAAACAAAGACTACACGATTTATTTATCATTTACGGAGTTATATTTGTGAATATATATGACACATTGGTATCAAATAAGCCGTGTCATGTCAGTGGTTTTATTTTAACTGTTCTAAGCTATTTTGCATACGTGGTAGAGCCATGCTGCAGTTATATTAGTAGTATAGTTGTAGCACGAATGGGTCAGCTTGAGCGTGGAAGGACTATGCTCTCACAAAATACCAGCGTAAAATAGCAGCTCAACATTGCTGCGATTCGTATGGTGAGTCTAGAGAACCGGAAACCCATTTTAAGCGGGCTACATACGACACGATATCGGTGGCGATCTAGGGTGGAAAGAAATCGGGGCTTTTATCGGGGTAGACCTTACACACGGGCCTGCCTAGCAGTACGCGTTCGGACTTGGAGCGGAATGTATATGCGGTAGAGTTCTTCAAAATACCTCCGACTCTCTTAAAACACCACCGTGTTGGTTTGGCATTAGCCATCTCGGTTAATTTATTCGAAAATAGAAAAAGAGAAGTTGCTGGGTGAAAAATGGCTCCAAAAGAGATAAAAATTAAGCCACATAAACGTACTAAATGGCCTGTAATCCAAGGACGTGATTAATTTTCTCCGGATGGATGAAGACAGTTTTTATAACCTTCTAGAAATGATTTCGCCACTTATATAAAAACGTCAATTTCTCCTACCTATGCTATTTAGTTATTTCTTCTCTTTGTTCATTTCTGCTTTGGTCAAAATCTGGTTATGTATTACACACAACAAACAAGGAAATAAAATACTTTTGTATAATAATTAGTATGGAAAATTTTTTTTTAATGTAATCTTTATTTATGGAGTAAAACTATCAGAAAATAAAATAGCTTATATCTTTTTTTTAAACATAAAGAAACCTTTAATTTCGGACATACTCCCTTTTATATAACTTGTTTGTTGATGTGAAGATGGTGAAGGAGTAGAAGTTAGTTTTTGATAAGAGTATGAAGGCACGTAAGAGATCGAAGTGTGGTCTTGTGGAGTTGTAAGAGATATGAGTGCGGTCTTGTGTTGATAGCGTTGGAATAGGAGTTAGTTGTTGAGGAGAGGCTTTATCTTCTCCTTACTTACATCATACACTCTACTTTACGAACGGCAATAAAAAAATTAGTTTAGTAGGCATTCTTGACCATGTCACTTCGCCGGGTCACAGGCTAGGGTGGATATGATTTGAATTTCGATAAAATTTCAATTAATTTATTTATTTTATTCACTTTTTTTTTTGTTTTTTGTAAAATATCAGTGCCATAGGCTTCTACTCCGTTTATATGATTAAAATGTAAAAATTTTGTTATATAAAAAGGTCATTCAGTATCACTGTTTTGTTAACTTCTTTCCGCGAGGGCTGCCGGCAGCGACTGCCAAAAGAAATCGGGCCGATGCGCCTACGCACACGCAGTAAGGAGGGGGCGGTGCCCCGATCTAGGAAGCATCGGCTGATCTAGGAAGCATTTTTGCTCCTGCCAGCCGATTAAGGAGGCGATATCGGCCACGACTTAGGATGGCCCTACATACGACACGATTTAGAGGCAATCTAGGAGGCATCCCCACTACTCCACCCTAGATCGCCACCGATATCGTGTCGTATGTAGCCCGCTATAGCATCTGCATTTTGATTCATAATCGAGGACTATGATAGATGTAAATGTCTATGGGCCACAGCAACCATTTATCATCAGGTGCACTATGATTTCTTATATTTACGGGAACACTACACATTGAAATAATACTAGTTTTTACGGAATTTATCGCGTATATTTAACTTTTTAAATACCCGACGTTTCGAAAGCTTTACAGCACCCATGGTCACGGGCAGGACTGAGATGTTCAACGTCCATATGTCATAGTTAACCGCGGTTACCATAGATTAATATATAAATGCATAAATGCATAATAAATAAATGCATAAATGCATAGATCGGAACAAAAGTTAAATTTTAATCTATGGTAACCGCGGTTAACTATGACATATGATTGAAATCTCAGTCCTGCCCGTGACCATGAGTGCTGTAAAGCGTTCGAAACGTCGGGTATTAAAAAAGTTAAACATACGCGATAAATTCCGTAAAAACTAGTATTATTTCAATCAGGTGCACTGTGTGCTCGCTTGTCACCTTTATCACACCCGATGGTAAGTGATGACGATGGAAAAGCGCACTGGCTTAATAAAAGCCTATTCATTCACTGATTACGAAAGATATACAATATCCAAGAGCGACGAACATAGTCAGTCAACGTGTGAGAACATCTGGTGGTGCGATCGCCAATGTGTCTGCAAGCGTGACGATTGCTCTATACACCACACATCTGCACACGGTCATGTCCAGCTGTGGACTTTTGCAGCTGATAAAGAATCTTAAACTATACTATATTAATAAAACTGATTTTATGTATTTTATCGCGTTTAATTTTAGTTTTAATACGAGAATCATTACTTAATTATTACAAGGTTTTGAGATAATTTTATATATATTTTTTATGTGTCAAAAGTATCCGAACTCGGGTTTTATCAAACCTTTAAAAATTTCGAAAATATTAACTTTATCAAAAGTTATGAGACCTTTTTATTTTTATTTCATCAAATAACATAAAAGAAAATATCTTTTATATTTTATGCTTTTCTTTATAAATTTATTTTAATAAGTCAAAAGTATCCAAATCCGCGATTTTTCAAACCTTTAAAATTCATAACTCTGAAAATATTAATATTAACGTTTTTTGTAAAAAGTCATAGGACCTTTTTTAATTTGTATTCTATCAAAGAATATAAAAATATATTTTATTCTTATTCTTTATGTATTTTTCATGAGTCAAAAGTATCCGAATTTGGGATATTTCAAACATTTAAACATTTATAGCTCCATAAATGTTAACTTCATCGTATAAGAAGTCATACGACCTTTCTACTTGTATTTTATAAAAAATATAAAAAATACTGTTTCGTTTAAAAATAACAATGCCTTGTATTTGAAAAAAAAAAACGGTTTAAATTGAGGTGGAACAGTTTTCGGTACCCGTGCGCCGATTACTCCTGGACTATGCTAGTATTACAAGGCTGCGTGCTATCACCTACGCTGTTTCTCCTGAATTATTGCTTGTATGCAATGGTGATGATTTTTACACCGGCCGTGCTGATAATTCTCGGGCACACGTTTTCGAGTATCGGAACAAAATTGTGTCTGAAGTCAAGTCGTTAATACGCAAAAGCTCAGTTATGTGACGATTTTTGTCCAGATTTAAATTCATAAGATACAGTTTAGCGCGTTTACCGCTAGAAAGAACCCCTTTCTTGTATCTCCTCAATTTTAGGACACTCCCCATGCTGTCTCAGTCAGAATCGGAATCCTCGGCATCCACATATCGAAACATGGTCACTTGGAAGGGAGGGCTAAATTAGCCTCTAAAAAGATTGGCGTACTCAGCAGAGCGGGACAGTATTTCATGCCGGCACACTGTTTGTAACCTTACAAGGCGTAATCTCGCCTTCACATGAGGTACCGTTTTCATCTTTGGATCCGGCACCTTAGTGCCGGTTCCTTCCACCTGACCGCATCCAGCAAAGAATAGCTCGAATCATCGACGACCGATTTCTTTCTGATCGGCTTCATTAAATGGCGCTGCGGAGAGATGTTGCATCATATTGCATTTTCTATCGCAGTGTTGCACGGGGAGTACTTAGACAAAAAGCTTGAATTAATTCCAACCGCCAAATTCCACAAACGCTCATCTGGACAAAACTTATCGTACCATCCACGCCATCTGATTCACCATAACTGTGCAAATTACTAGGAGTTTTCTTCCTCGCCTAGGACTGTTGGAACTCTAAATCGGCATCGGTGATGAGAGCCTTCGAGGGAGAGATAGATGTAGCTAGGTGTTTATGGACCAGAACATCCACTTACTACTTTTGCTTGTATAAAAACTAAAAAATAAAGTGTACTACGCTGTTTCCAAGTTTTTTGGGTTAACGCACACTAACCTAAACATGAAAAGTATGATTTTTTACATATAGCACCCTTATATACACAAGGGCATTTAAAAAAAAAGTACATACCTCAATCTACGTGGTTTTGCTTTCGTAGCAACATTCACTGTCCCTATGAAGGATGATTTACACAGAGTCAGTAACAGACGCCAGTGCCGGCGCTGAAGCAAGATTTAGACGAAGCCAGCGCTGGCTTGTTATTGGCCTCGTATAAACAGGTTTTCAAGACAAGCCAGCGCTGGCTGCCAGCACTAGTGGGAATAGAGCGCCTGCTTATTTTTTAAGCCAGTGACCTCCGCCCGCGTGCCCCGCAACCCCCGCGCCGAAATAAATAATTTGTAATATAAACATTTTACAACTGATATTGTACAATTACTATATTTAATGTATGTAGGTGACGATATGATAAACATTATTTTTCAGTCAGTTTAAAAAACCATTAATTTAATACAACGATTTACGAATTAAATGATAGATTCATTTAATTTGGCCTCATCTACACAACACGGGCCAGACCAGCGCTGGCTTGTCTGAGGGCTGGCGCCAGCGTTACTGGCTTCGTGCTTGAGGACTGACTGGGCCTGTTTACATGCGCGGTAATTTCTTCAGCACTACTACGCACGTTATTGATGTCAGTGGGCAAAAATTAATTTATAAATTAATAAAAGAATATGCAACGATTCAAATATTTGCCGAGAAAATGTTTGAAAGATTTGACAGAAATGTTAGAAAAAGAGATATCTAAAAAGAAACGACTTTAGTATTTTATTTATCTCTAAGTAATATACGTGGATCTTATGGCTTTTTCTTTTACTTCGGTGGGGCTTAGTATTTCTATATCCATTTTCTGAGAAATGTTTTGCAACGCTTTTGCACACTTTTCCTTATAACAGTAATTTTGGGATTTAATATTCCACAGACATTCATTTCCGCCATAAAACTGAACCGATATTAAGTTTTCGTTGTCGTTTAATTTTCGCGTCATTTTCATTGGAATATTCGATATGACGTGCCGTCAACCCTAGCAGCGCGATTGACCAAGTACTAACTTGGTCGTTAGGTGAAGTCAATACCGCTGGCGCGTGGGGGGAGTGGGCTGACTTCAAAATATTCAAGCAGGAATATTGACGTCAGCACTGGCGCGACAGCGCCGTACTGACTCCAAATCAAATTACTGACTTGCCTGGAATTTGGAGCCAGTTACCGACCCTGTGTTTTGACCCAGCCATTAATTTTGTGTCGCACATAGAAAAGGCGAACGCATTCATAAGCTGGCCAGATAGTGTATCACCTCAACAATGGACATTCGAAGTAAATAGCTTATTATTAAAGGAATGTGCTGGCGCATGTTTAAGATGACACCTCAATAAAACATACCTATATTTCATGTCCTGTATATTATATATTATATAATCACGTTATTGTAAAACTATAAAATAAAACTTCTATTAATTTTTTCTTATATAGTATATGTTTTAAATCTTAACATGTTAATAAAAATGTTTTATTTTATAGTTTTACAATAACATGGCAATCAACATGTTAAGATTTAAAAGATATACATTAGTTTTAAATAAACAATATAAGAAAAAATTAATAGAAGTTTTATTTTATAGTTTTACAATAACATGATTATAATATAATATATAATTTACAAGACATTTTGTTCTGTTCTGTGATCTGTGAATATGAAATTATCCAAATAATAATAAAATACAAGTTACAAGCTATCGCGGGAAGTTATGAAATAGATACTAGAGCAGCGAAGAGCATTAAAAGTATATTAAAAGTTTAAATTACTTGGTAAAGTACTTGGTACCAAAATACTTTTATTAGATTAGTCAAAAGCTCTAATAATAGTATGGCAGAAGCTAGGAGTAATAACGCCCTGTGGGCAGAAGCTATTGAAAAAAATGCAGCGCAAGCAGTCATTAATTTTTTGATAACAAATGTCCCGAAATCGGACGTTGCCTCTGTAGAGGCTGAATTAAAAAAAGGATTTTATATTTGCTAAAAAGAAAGGTAAAGAGTCGAAGAAAAACAAAGAAAAGCAAAAAGAAGTCTAGAACATTAACTAGGAAGGAGAAAAAGAATCTAGGATTTTTTAATATTCCAAGGAATAGTGTTAAATATGATGATATGAGGCCTATGAATGAAATATGGGCAGACTATATCAATAAATTACTTGAATTAGATAAGTCTATTCCAGACTGCAGTAGCAAAACCTTTTTTTACACAAACACTGTGCAGGGCAGATTTTCAAGGGAGTTTTTTACAAATAGTTAGATCAAAATGTCCAAGTTATGTTGGCAAAAAAATGGACACTACGAATACCTTTAAAATTGTTTCAAAGGATAATGAGGTTATAACAATTCCTAAACGGGAGTGTGTTTTTGATATGTATCTTGGAAAAATTAAAATAACTTTATTTGGAAAACATGATTTATTTGGAAACTGCTGAAAGGTCTACAAAAAAATCAAAAGTCTTATTGATTTATTTAATAATAAAAAAAATATGAATATGTCTAGGTCGCAGACTATCTGAATATATTCTTATGAATTTATATTAAAAACTGTCCTTAACAATCGTTAAATTCCATGTAGAGAGTCCAAAATTAAAACAAAAAAGTTTTCAATTAATTTTTTTTTTAAAAATCGTGAGTTTTAATTGACTTCGATTTGCGTTTCAAAATAATGCCCCCGTCATGTTGTTAAATTTATTATACATTGAAGCATTTGTAAAGAGGGACATAATTTACAACTATTTTAACGAATTCAAACGTTTTCCTAGGAATCTCGCTGATTAGTTGCGAGAGGTTTAGCAATGGCAATACACGATCTTAAAGTACTCATAACCATAGATAACATAATATCATTTTTGTGTTATGGTGTTTGAAATATTAAATATAAAAATGATCTTGTTTACACCATTATAAATATGTTATTTTATAATGGTGACATAAACAAGATCATTCGCTTTGTTAACATCAAAATTAAGTCGTTTTGTAGTACATTACGTTGTATGTTTAATGACACTTTGTTGCTTGTGAACTTACGACGCAATGTATTACAAAATTATTATTATTTTGATGTCAACAATGTTGGCAAACAAGCCTGCTGGAATGATTGCCATAATTGCCTCGCAATAGTAATAGGCAGCAAGTGGAAAGACAATTACATAGTACTGGACTGGAAAAGCTATTTCAGGTCAAATGAACTGAGAAATACTTGGATATACAATTACATAGTACTGGACTGGGATAGCTATTTCAGGTCAAATGAACTGAGAAATATGCTTTTTGCTCACTTTATATTCTAAAATTATGAAGCAATGAGTATAAATTTCACAAGGACATCCAAATCAGGAACAATTATTTGAAGGCTATAACCTTCAAATAATGTTTCAAATACATGTTCTGTGCGGAATTTGAACTCGGGGCCCTCAGCGGCGCAACTCAATGCTGGGTCACTACGCTCGTCGTCGTTTTGGGCATTTTACGTCTAACGTAAACGAGATGGTTAATGATAGTGCAGTAATACTGATATATGTCTGCTAAAAAAATTTCTACCATTTCCCATAGTTGCAGTCGCCTCTTACCATTACCGATGTGGTACGGGATGAAATGGGGTAATGACTTATGAGTTTTGTTCAAAGTACGCAGCCAAACCATAGCAATACTTCAACAGAGTACATAACTTAAAATGTAAAACTTAATTTTAATCGAGCCTACTGAATACCAGCGCTGTTTTTTGGCAACAGCACTAGCTGGATGATGCTAAATGATGATGCTGGCATGCATATCGTCACACCACTTGGCGTAAAATAATGTTCTAAAGCAAAACAATACTCAATTTAATCAGTGTAGTTGTGAAGAGTGACATTACCGTTGTTGAGTGAGGCGGGAATGGCCGGCTGGTCGGGCTTGTTCCCGGGGGAAGCCTGCTCCAGCTTGACGGCGACCAGCTCGGACATGTGGACGTGCTGCGGCTCGCGCTTCACCTGCACATGCACGTTCTGGCCCACGCCCAGCCACGTCACCGGGTTGGTGCGGCTGCATCCGCCCTCGCTGTGCGCCACCTGTGCAAGTTTATGTTCTCCTGGTGATGGTGCTATCACATTTATTTATTTATTTAGGCACCACGAGATAAATAAATTAATATAAATTACATAAGCTTTACAAATTGTAATAAATACACTTAATCTTAAAATGAAACATGTAAACAAACTTTATCTTAATTATAGGTAAGAAGCAGACAACTAAAATACAAAAAGCTTAAAAAATCATATTGCTAAATTAGAATGTACTGCATCCTGATTCCGTATCGCAGCAGTCAGGCTCAGGCATTTGGTTGCAGTGCTTCGGGGACCGAAGTTTCGATAACCCGCACGGTACTCGTATGTGTACAAGCTTTTTTAATATATACCGAATAAAGCGATAGAGGTGTTTTTTTGTTTGTCTACACACGCTAATCACTGGGAATACTAGTCCGATAAAAAATATTGTATATGATAGCCAAATCCATGAGGAATATTATAGGCTATCTATCATTAGCCTATGCATCTCAGCTCGCCTTAAATATTGTTTTTGTTAAGCAAGTCGGGAGGAAAATCGCTCCCGAACTGCTTTTTCCGCGCGCGCTGACGTAATGCTTAGTGATATAATGTTCTACAAAAATATTGATTTTCACTCTATCTAAAAAAGTTCGCGATAACATAATATTCCTATTTCTTATACATAGGCCACAATAACGTATTTGTGACAAAAATTTATGGAAAAGTAAAAAGTGATTAGTATTAAGCACGATCGTAACGATTAAAGGTTTATTAATCGTTACGAACGGAAGTTATTTCATAATCAAGACAATTGTATGAAATGATTTCTTATATTTACGCGAACACTATACATGATTAAAACTACTTTTACGGATTTTATCGCGTTTATTTTTACTTTTTATTTACTTTTATTTTTAATTCCCGACGTTTCGGGCGCTTTCCAGCACCCATGGTCACAGGGGACTCAGTCCCCTGTGACCATGGGTGCTGGAAAAATCTGCTCTTATAGCATGTTATTTGGACCAATGCCAGATTAACCACGTAGCAAGAGTAGCAATTGCTACGGGCCCAGCGCAAAACGGGACCCCGCGTACCCAAGCACCCCATCATCGCCTTAGCGTACTTTTTTAGGTACAACTTATTAAAATGGTATATTCAATTTACTTGATGTCACATAAACATGAAACGTTGCAAATGACAACCGGTAACCTATTATTTTGTTGGCGAACATGAAACACAGAATTTCATACATTTACTGTATGAAATTCTGTGTTTCATGGTTCTCATACTACTGATCATGCGGGAAGAATTGTTTACGGTTTTGCTTTAGCATATGGTCTGACATAACTCGACACTTTGCCCACGCAGATTCCAGATGTAGAGGATCATACACCTTCCTTGTTGGACCTCCTGCTGACCTCTCTCATCCGGACGGCTATAGGTCGGCGGATTGTGATGGTATGTCATTGAGGCATTACTAGTACGTATAGAGAAGACAACGCCCTGCATGATTTTGCGCCACGCTTTGCGGTACACTGTACCGTAACTGTTTAGTGAGTGTCCAACGCCCGCACAGACAAGTCGTGTTCGCTTCGCATAAATAACAACTTCAAAATGCTTGGTTGTGTTCTTAAAGACTGCAGTAAACACTCCGGAACATCAAAAAAGTGATGGTTTAATATTTCATTGGTAAGTAGACATTAAAACGTTTAAAACTCTTTGATTTCAAGTTTTTCGCGTTGTTACAATGCTCACAAGAATCGGGCAAAATGTAAAATCTATGGGAGCGACTTGTTGTACACTACGTTGAACCATAAGTTAAGTCCAATCATACCATAAGTTACGTTGAACCATAAGGTAAGTTAAGCCATAAAATTCCTGGCGTTTATGACGATTTGGTCGCGAGAAAACTAATCCCTAATGCAAACCAGCGCTGCATGTTTTAATAGTTTGGTTAAACGACGTAACTATTATTTTAGCGCTGCAGCGAACTTTAGTTCTAACTCTTACCAAAATGAAGCAAACTTTTGGTTCGGGGTGTCTGTTCTATACGCTAGTAATATAGTTCGATGTGGTATGTGGCTTTTTTGCATCTCCATCCATCCAAAAATTCGTAGCTGAGTCTGTCGCCAATGTGGTGTATAGAAATTTTGATTTGATTGACTTCGTCATCCGTAGTGCCTACCAGCGGCAGATCCCAGTATTGGTTTTGACGCTCCTGCAAAATTACGTTGCGGCAAAAGCAGGAGTCCAGGTCCTCCAGGACCTACAAAAGAGTTATCGCTGGGAAGTTGAGTCAGAGCACATTGGAAAAATTGACCAGAAACTAGTTAGCCTTCTTACGATAACTCGTGCGTTCTTATTTCTCGACAAGGCTGACCAAGGGAATTTCTGTTAAACATCATTACTACCTTTAGTAAGATGGATGACTTGGTGGCCACGCCGCAAATGAGAAAGCCAATATTTTAGGATCTCTTTTGCGTCGAATTTGACTCTCGACGACGCGGGCATTATATTTATACCACCAACCATGCCACGCTCCATGCCGGATGTACTGTTTACACAGTACTCGGTGCGCAAATCACTCTTGTCACTGGACGTGCACAAGTCGAGTGGGTCTGATGGAATTCGTCTAGTTGTGGTGAAGATGTGTGCTCCAGAGTCGGTATGGGTTCTAATATATAATCGATATATAAATAATGTATAGGCGTCGTTTCAGGCCCATGGAATATAACATTAGTGCACACAATGCCTAAAAAGGTGACCGCTCAGACCCGTCCAAGAACAAGCTTATCACTATCACTTCCTTTTTCTCCCAAGTAATGGAATCTATTATTAACCACAAGCTCACGCGGTACCTCGAAGAGACCGTCAATACAGTTTCCGTCGAGGTCGCTCAGTTGGTGGTCGTTTTTTACCCGACGCACCGATAACCGATGGGTGGAGGCAGTCGAGACCAAATAGGAGGCCATGGTGGTTAGCTAGGACAAAGCGAAGGCCTTAGATCGGATTTGGCATAAAGCGCTTCTTTCAAAGTTTCCCTCTTATGAGCTTCCCCAGAAATTATGCAATTGGGTCACTAGTGTTCTTACAGATCAGAATATTAAAGTCATATAGTCCACAGGGCATGCTCCGACTCTAAGCCTGTGAATGCTGGTGGTTCACAAGGCTGCGTGCTACCTGTATTGCATAATAGTAATATTCATTTTTATTCAGACGACAGTACTAGCGATGCTTTATACGCCGGCCGTGGTTACATTTCTCGACAACACGTCGTTGAGTGTCGGAACAAACTTATGTCTAAAGTCAGTCTTTGTTGAACAGTCTTAGATTGGGTTTGACTAAAGTTGAATCCCCAAAGGACACAGGTTTGCGCTTTTACCGTAAAAAATCCCCTTTGTCGTATCTCCTCGATTTCAGGGCACTCCCTCGTTACTTCAGCCAGCAACGGACTCTTTGGCGTCGATATTTCGAGAGATGTACAGTTTCGTAGGCACCTTGAAGGGAAGCCTAAACTGGCATCAAGCTTGGAGTGCTCAGTACATCGAAATGGGATTTCATGCCGGACTACCAGCTACTTGCAGCTTTATAAAGGGCAGATTAAACATCATATGGAATAATGTTCTAATGTCTGGAGCGAACCCCAGTATCAGCTTATTAATTTCTTATTTTAATTATTGATTTCCACCATCGTACATCGTACACTGCGTCAGAACTCGAAATTCCATCATTATCTCGATGGCTTGCGGTCCACTACCGTGCGATTTACGCGGAATATTCTGCTTCGCACGACCAAACTGTGGAATTTACTGTCGCCTGCGGTTTTTCCGGACCCATACGACAAACTTATGCCTATAAAGGAAAAGGACACATGTTATATGTATCTAAAACAACAATATGCATCAAGCAAGCAATACATAAAATGCGTGAAACGGAAATAATGACGTGGAATGGAATACTAGAACACGTGCAAGCGACTAGTGCGTCACTGCCATTGTTTAATATAGACATTAAATACGTGTTATAACCCTTCTTAATTATTTTTTTTTTTTTTTTATAGAAGAGGGGGCAAACGAGCATGTGGCTCACCTGATGTTAAGTGACTACCGCCGCCCATGATCAACCGCAACACCAGGGGAATTGCAGGTGCGTTGCCGGCCCTTTAGAAAGGAGTAAGCGCTTTTCTTGAAGGTCCCCAGGTCGTATCGGTCCGGAAAAATCACCGGTGGTAAATTATTCCACAGAGAGGTTGTACGCGGAAGAAAACTCCTTTTGAAACGTACAGTGGTGGACCGCCAAGCATCCAGATGGTGTGGATGGTATCGGGACGTTTGCCGTGTAGTGCGTTCACGAAATTTGGCGGCTGGGATTAATCCGAACAATTCCTCAGAGCACTCCCCGTGATAGATGCGATAAAATACGCAAAGAGATGCAACATCTCTTCGCAGCGCCAGTGAATCGAGCCGATCGGAAAGCACTCGGTCGTCGACGATTCGAGCCGCTCTGCGCTGGATGCGGTCAAGTGGAAGGAGCTGGTACTGGGGAGCCCCAGCCCAGAGATGGGAACAGTATTCCATGAGCGGCCGAACCTGCGCCTTGTAAAGTTGCAGGCGGTGTGCCGGCATGAAATACTGTCCCGCTCTGCTGAGCACGCCAAGCTTTTTAGAGGCCAATTTGGCCTTCCCTTCCAAGTGACCACGAAACTGCACGTCACTCGATATGTCGACGCCGAGGATTCCGATACTGGCTGAGGCAACAAGGGGAGTGCCTTGAAACTGAGGGGATACGACAAAGGGGTTCTTTTTAGCGGTTAACGCGCAAACTTGTGTCTTCTGGGGGTTAAACTGGACTAGATTTAGTCGCCCCCAATCCGAGACTCTGTCCAGCAGAGACTCGACTTCAGACACAAGTTTGTCCCGGCACTCAGAGACGTTTTCCCGAGAAATATTTGCTCGGCCGGTGTAAAGAGCATCACCAGTGCTGTCATCTGCATAGCAATGAATGCTACGGGTTTGCAACATATC